AAGGTAATAAAGGAGACAATGTGATGGTTTCTCAGAAAAGATTAAATGTAGAATTACCATGTGATCCAGCATCTTCAATTGGGTATTCCATATACCCAAAACAATTGAAAGCAGGGACTTGGACTGACACCTGCACATTAATGTTCACAGCAGCATTATTCACAACACCCAAAGGTAGAAACAACCCAAATAGCCGTTGGCAAATGAATGATAAATAATATGTGGCATATACATACAATGGAATATTCTTCAGCCTTAAGAAGAAAACCTTAAAAAGTAAACTCTGGTATGTGCTACAACATGGATGGTCCTTGAGAACATTACACTCCGTAAAATAAGCCAGATACAAAAAAGCAAGTATTGTTTATGCATATCGCATATAAGGTACCTAGAATAGTTAAATTCAAAGAGAAAGAGACTGGTGGCTGCCAGAGATTGGATAGGGTAGTTAATGGGGAGTTTATTCGTTAATGGATTTCGTTTCTACTTGGAGTGATGGGAAAGTCCTAGAGAGGATGGTGGTGATGATTGCACAACCATGTAAATGTACTTAATGCCTCTGAGTGTACACTCCAAAGGGGTTAAAACGATAAATTTTAGTGAGATGTATATTTGCCACCATAAAAAAGAAAGAAAAGAAAAGAAAGCAATATTCCTTTAATATGCTAACATTCCTGTATCTGCCAAGAGAACATCAATGCTGCCCGGAGATCTTGCATCTAGCTGTATGAGACAAAGAGACACCGCATAGCCACACAGCTTCGGTGGAACACGGGCCAGCATGCCCTTCATGGGTGGGCACTGCCCTGTCTTCCCAGCTGGCTCCGTCATAAAATGCACCTTCCGAGGCGTGGTCACGACGCCGCAGGTGCGGCTCGCGGCGCTGACCTGGTCGGCTGGTGGCGGGTGCTGCAGCGCGCGGCCGGGCGCCAACCCTGGCCCGCCAACGTGCTGCTCTGCGCCGCACTCTTCTCGGCTGGCGACGCGCTGCAGCAGCGCCTGCGGGACGACCCGGGCGACCGGCCGTGGCCACCGTGGCCGTGACCTTCCACGTCAGCTTCAACTACGTGTGGCTGCGCCTGCTGGAGCGCGCGCTGCCCGGCCGCGCGCCCCGCGTGGTGCTGGCCAAGGTGCTGGGCGACCAGGTGCTCGGCGGGCCCGTGGCTCTCTCGGCCTTCTAGGCCGGTATGAGAATTCTTCAGGGAAAGGATGACATATTTTTGGACCTGAAACGGTAATTCTGGAATACATATAAGAGTGGACTGATGTACTGGGCTTTTGTTCAGCTGACCAACTTCAGCCTGGTTCCTGTTCAGTGCAGGACAGCTTACACAGGACTCTGTGGTTTTCTCTGGGCTACCTTCCTTTGCTTTTTCCCGGCAGAGTGGTGACAGCACTTTGAAGTCAGTGTTCACTTTCCTTCACACAGAGAAGGCCAGTGCAGTTGACAGGTCCCCAGAGAAATGAGAAGTCAAGGACTCTTTTTTTTTTCTTTTTTTCTTTTTTTTGAGCAAGTATAATTTATTATGGACAAATGGTTGGAAAAATGTTACTAATATCCACGGATAAGTTCCTTAAGTCACATGTAAAGATAGACTATTAAAAGTCTCCTTTATTTTTCTGTTGAATCAAGCACTAGCTACCATGTTACAGTTCGATATTTGGGGGCCTTCCAAATGTTAGCACAGTTAGCCTTGCCTTATTAATCATCAAATAATAAACTAGGTCCCAGTGGTTATGTCCACATCTAGATTGTTCAGGTGATCAGGAACTCTTTTATTTGTTTGCTTTAGCCTTGAGTTCTTGGTTATATCTCCAAATACGAAAAAGCTGAGAGGCTCCTGCTGTCCCCACAAAGAAATTAACAGCAAACAGATTCCAATTCTTTGGAACAATTACAAGTGAGTATCTTGACCAAATAAATCCTGTAGCCATCAAAACAGCAGACTGGGCTGTGCTGAGTTTTTCTGCAGGTCTGGCCATGTCAGCCAATCCAGCACACACCAACCCCCATTTCATAACTGGAGCCCAGAAAAAAACCGTTTTGGGGCCGGCCGGATGGTTGTAAAACGGCCTCAATTTCTTGGGCAACATCAGCTCCACCTTATCGAGCACCTGGTGGTAGGTGGCTCGCAGGCCTCGAATACCAGCAGCCAACATCTCCACCGCCAAGTGATCTTGGGCAGCCAGGCGGGAGCGTGGCGGTGTCCTCGTCCCTGGATGCTCTGCTGCCCCTTCACTTTG